TACAGTTCTAGGTCGGCCTGTAGTAGTAGTTCCGTTCCTGAATGGGGCGCAATATGTCGGCCTTCTTTAATTGTTTTAGCGAGCTCTGTCCATCGGTTACTTCTTTTTGGCGAGCACAATCCGTCGGCTCCTTCGATTCTTTGAGCTCGGTTGTCAGCTCGGATTATCCACTCTCGAATTTGAGTAACATACCCTTTATCAATAAATGATAAAATAACGCGGAATGTTAAGCACGAATGCGTAACAAAGGAATATACATTATATGGCATCAATAAAATATGAAATTCGGGCGGGGGTTGAATCCTTGGCTTATCCCTTTGTTGTGGTTCTAGTTGTTGTCGTTTGCCGCTGCTCCTGCCAGCAGTTGCCGCCATCGCTTCTCATCGCCGCTAGTTGCTGTCGTTTCTCGAAGAATGAGGAGATCGGCCGAGGGGCTTCGGACGATCGCCAGCCCATCCATGCTACCCGGAAGTCCGACCCCTACCGGGCATGGAGGTCACGGCGAAGTTCTAAGTCCTCGAGGAATGTGAGCACCCACTCCCAGCTGACTCATATTCCTGCGCCATACAGTTATGAAGAATGAAAGCGCACTATATTCACATACAACATGCATATAATTTTTAGATTTAATTTGTACTGTTCGTCCACACTTCTCGAGAAGTTGCATCCTCTCAATAACCCCTTTCCCTCCCCTCCCTCCGTCATCCTGGGCTTAAAATATACCCATCGCCAACGTTCCCAGCCGCAACTCCTTGCCACTTTTCTATCCACAGTCATTGTTGTTTGACTTCCCTTTCAAAAAACAATTGTTCCACGCAACAGCATGCATTCGACAAGGCGAAAACATCACCGACAAGCTTCGAGGAATTTTCTTCCCCGCAAGCAGGGTAGTGATTAGCAGTCCAAGAGACAGAGGGGCGAGTTTGCTGCACCGACCTGCGCTACTGCATCGTAGCACTCGTGACGGCTGCTGTCTGAACTCTTAGTTTCCTCTCTTCCGTTCGTCTTAAGCTCAGCGCAGGAGCGCGACATAATATGGGCCTTGGCCGACAGGCAGCCTTCGCAGCATTCATCGAAATAGATGCCATCAATGTAGTACAAAGACGCATTCGCCATTGTTCGAGTTGTGAACAGAGACGGTACTTCAGCCGCTGATTTTCATTTCACCACAGAATTCTTGTTACTGATTGTATGCTAACACTTGCAGCATGTCGGCTTTGGAGCACAGCTGCGATCCAGACGCTGCGCTGATTTTCAGCGGTACAACAGCTACGTTGCGATCGCTCAAAGAAGGCATTAACAGCTACAGTAACGAGGTACGTGTGCTTAACCAGTAACGTGGTACGTATGCTCGTAGCTACGGTCTGCAAATTGCGTCAGGCTATTACTGGGAAAAGGTTCGGCAGCAGTGAAGCAACTTTCACGTTCAGGATGCTCCGAGTATTCCTGTTGAGCAAACATATATAGGCCAGCGACAAGTCATTGTTGCTTGCGGAGGTAAGTTCCGAGCACCAACTTCAAAGCATCGTTATCTGGTCGGCGTTTATTCCACCGTTGTCTTCGGCAGGTAATATCATTACGCTTTGGGACGTATTGAAGAGCAACAAGTGATGCTTGTCGCATTCACATTTGTAGGCAGCACATAATTACATGATCGAAATGTGCGAAAGTGCTTTGAACAAAAGAATCTTGTTAAGCTTCGCGACAATTTTAAAGCTCGGCTTCACCAAATCGTTGGTTTTGCTAGTTTAAATATCAGAAAATTAAGGATAACCGTTCATTTGGTTTATTCTGATTGATAGAATGCTGTAAAATGAAATGAAGAAAGCTTCACCACAGTTTTTTTAAATGCTTTTCAATTTGCGCAGTATTTTAGCTCACAGTAGCGCAATGTGATATCATTTATCCCACAGCACAGAGGATAAGACAGATCAGTAAACGCTTTAGAGTTTGTTACTGCGCACTGTGCAACGATCCCGAAAAAGTAAGTTAATTTACAATCACGAAGACATATCCAGAACGCATGCTTGTCTAACAATCATGTCTGCTTGCTTATATATTTGACCATTTGTGTGTTCAAGTGTTTCAGCTCATTTGCTTCGAACTGAGCCTTTCAAATTCTTGCGAAAGTAATGATAGGACATCAGTAGATAGATGTAGACTAACAGCGTGAGAATTTGTGTGTTACTTAGTTTTATCCCCTAAAACACTAAGAAATTCATTGCTGTGATATATGTAAGTACAGAAGTTCCAG